GTCCTGGTCCTGCAGCGTGCCCACGTACCCCAAGGAGAGCTCTGGGCCCTTGGCACCGCTCCCGTCCCTGCGTGCCTTCGTGACCTCAGAAAAATCCGCTGGGTATTGTGGGTTTGTGAAGGCAGCGCCATATGTAACATCATTTTTGTAAGAGATGAGGGGCAAGCACGATGAAGGTTTTGCTAATCAGGAAAATATAAATTTGAGGGAGCTGGGAAAACAGTGTCTGCTGTAGTTGGTCCTGAACTGAAAAACGCCAGTTGCGTTTTTGGTGTTAAAAACCTATTTGAAGTGGGCTAGAAACACGCATTGCATGCACAACAGCTTTCTCCTGTTTGTTTTCCTAAATACTACACGGCTTCTTAAAAACAAGCACTCAGTGGGGAGCCTCCTTAGATGAAGCTAACGAGCTGGGTGTTGTAGCTGTGGGATAGCATGTGTGGGATGCGGCTGCAGGTTGTGTAAACAGCTTTTATAGAAGAGGTGTGAAAGCCTGCCCGCACTCTTCTGCAAATGTGCTGAGCCCTGGGTCGTCAGGGCCGGCCCAGGGTGTCCCCAGCCATGCTGGGTATCCAGGCTTTCCGGCCATTCACAGCATGTGGCCACAGGTGCCACGGCTTCTGGGGTCCCTGATAAAATTGTTCCCAGGCTTGGTTGGTTGACCATGGTGGTGGCGGATGCCCTGACCTCCTCCCGGTTCATTCCCCTCTGCCCTCATCCCCCCTCCTCAGTGCACAGGTAAGGAGTTTGCAGGCAGCGTGTAAATTTTTCTCCAGGTCTTTAAAAGCTGTATTGAGGCAGGATTCCTCACGCCTGCAGAAAGGGGAGGATGGTTTGCCTCGGGAGAAAAAAGAAGGCGTTTTCTGCGCATAACCCCTAGCTGCTCAGCCTTGACATAACTCGAGTTTAGGCGAAGATCTTGCAGATGCAGATCCCTGTCATAGGTAGCTTTTTAGCACTGCATCGGAAGCACTGTGTTTAACAGCTTTGCAGCCATCCTCGCTCCAGGAGATGTCCACAAGATGGGGCCCCTCTCCTTGATTGTGATGAAGAAGGCTTTTAGGGGGTTTGGCTCTAATTACAATAATCAGCACTCTGAATGGTGTCTGTCAAATGCTGCGGTAATGATACACCACTGTCGGAGGAAACCTGGCTTCCTAGTAAGTGGGAAGCTGTGGCGAGCAAAGCTGCTGAATGTTGTCTCTGCGTGCAGCAAGGCACTGTAGCCTGCTGGGTTATGGTGCAAGGTGGAATGTCACCTCTGTGTTAGGGCTCTGGAGTTATTCAGAGGGAGCCCTGGTTGTGATACAACATCGTCACACCCTGCGTTCTATTTTGCACTACTGAATGTTTATCAGTTTATCTCCTGTACCTGGCAAAATCAGATTGCCTTGGGATATCATTAAAACTTGATAAGCCAATGAGTTGGAAGAAGCATGATTTAAATTGTACCCTGAGGGTATTCTGTTTACGCTTGCTCATCATAAGATCTTTTTTTTCTCATACAAACAAATATAAATAGAGGTATGCTGAGCTGCTTAAGAGAGTTTTAACCGTGACAAACAGTATTAGTTCCAAAATGCTGAGTTAATCTCCTTGCAGTTCTCTGTTATTTAAACTTGATTGGCCGAATAGTGCAAAATCACATTAAAATGACTCAGCAAACTGAAGCTCAATTGAGAGGGGACGCATCTTAAGCAACCCAAATATATATCACTGAAGAAGTAGCATTCGAAGAGCAGCAACTAGTAAATCTGAACTTCTGCCATGCAAGCGTCACCAGCGCTCATTAAAGGTAGGAGAAGCCTCTGTTACAGTATAGACTCTTTTGGAGACCATTTTTTGCCGTTTCGTGTCTGGCACTCCTGTCACTTGAGGCTCAGAGCTCGCTGGATGAGAAGACGGGGAGTTGCCACCTTGATGGCATGCATAGAAGAAGCAGCAAAAGGGCTGATGAGGTGTTTCTGAGCAATGGGAAGAATAAATAGAGGGATGAAGGAGAAGGCACGGAAGTGTTTCAAACTAGAGCTGTTTTGAGTCTTGTTACCTGTTTCCGTGTTGATGCTGTAGCCGCAGGCTCACCACTCTGGGTGGGAGAACAGCACAGATGCTGTTGTGCTGTGGCTGCAACATGAGAAGTTCACAGATCGGACTCTCTGCCTAAACTGGGTTTTACCAAAATTGTTTTAGCACTGGATTTTATTTTATAGAGGAGGCTTATGTGGTAGCCTAAATCTTGAAACTGGGAAGGGTAAATCCAGGCAATGGAAATGCCAGATCCGGGCTGCAACTATGTCGTGTGTGGGCTTGATGAAATGTGACAAAGTGTTTAAAACTGGGAGACTATAAAGTATAGTGAGTAATTGTTTGAAAAAAAGGCAAGGCATGCAGTACTTTAAAGTTGTGGTGAAATTCACACTTCATAAAGCTTTGAAATAAAAGTCAAAAGAGATGGCGATGCAGCCGATATCTAGGTGGAGATCAAACCTGAGTAGTTGATACGTTAAGAGTCTTCATGTGTCTCAGCCACAGACAAGTTTGAACTTTATTTCATTTGATGTTTCACAGATGCAAAGAGCTGATCTAAACTGGAAATACAATCGGATTCCTAAACTAACAAGCTTCTGCTCATTAAATTTGTGGTGATTGAATTATATATAGGTGAAAATTAGAATTCAGTTAATAAGCAACTTTTAAAATCCTGGGTTCCTGCAAGTTTTTATTTAAATGTATCTTAGCTGTACCAGATAAATTCTGCGGGAAGAAAAAAGTGTTTTGTTCATGGTCTGCTCAACACCTCTGTTAATCCCTTCTGTGAACTATTCTTAGGTACTTTTGAAAATCTGCATCCATGTCAGTTTAATTAGTATTTTTTACCAAGCATTCACTCTGTTCAAAGAAAGGTGATGCTGTGAATTTTGGCATGTTTGTAGGGATAGCCTCAGCAGTACAAGACGATTTACTCCTCTCTGTGAATAACTCGTAAACATTCTTCAAGTCATTACATTTTTAAAATAATTATTGATGCAGCATGTTGTTTTTGTATATTAAACATTGGCAATACTGTTATTTTTGTTTAAACACAGCTTGTATTTTAACATGTATTTTTTTAAACAGATTTATTTTAAAAGAAACAAGTCTTTTACTTAAATAGAAATCAATTTTTGTCGGCTTACCGCTCAGATGAACTGCTTGTGAAGGAAAACAGTCGGCAAGCAGGATGGAAGGAGGGTTGTTCTAAGTCTGGTCAGTTATACAGAGTGTGTTGGAAGTCTCATGCCTTTGCTTTGCCTGAGATTTGGAGAAAGTACTTCTGCCTCATCGCAATGCTGGCAAAGCTGCGGTCAGTCTAACTGGCAAGTTAAGCTCCAGCTGCATCTTTTGGAGATCATGTGGTGACTGATTGCAGAAGGTCAGGAGAGGAGCTTTGTTCAAAAAAGGCACTGCTGAGAGATGTCCTTAAGGGGGCCAGTTCTTGGGGCTGGGAACCTCTCCGTGTATCACCACAAAGCGCGTTGTCCTGTGAAGAGGGCTTAACTGGTGTAAAGAGGCAGGATATGGAGTAATATGTTTTGTTGTTCACTGTGTTTTCTTGTTTTGTTTTTAATACCATTTTCTGTGTTACACACGTTTGTAGCAGAGAAATTGAAGAGGGGAGGGAGTATTGGAAGTGTATCGAAGGTCTTATTTGACATCTGTTTGAATTAGTTAGAAAATCTAGAAGGGGATAAATGATTAGGATATATTCCTAACAAAAAAATAGTAAAGCATTGAAGGGTGCATTTGATTTTTATTGCCAGCATGCTGCAGTTCATTTTAGTAAGGGGACCAGCCAGACCAAGGAATATTGCTCCAGTGCATGCATTTACATGGGAGGAGAGACTCGCTGTCGTTAATAAGCAAACAGTGCCATTTGGATCAGTTAAGAGTGGCGGCAGAGCTAGGTTAAACAGCTTCTCAGACGAGGGTAGAAAAAAGGCTCTGTGTGTGACTACCTGCTGCTTGGTGGAGGGGTAAGAGTAAGGGGCGCCAAAAGTTAGTTGGGTTTAAAAAGTTGCTACAGTGGCCTATCTCCAGTTGAAAGGATGAAGAAATTAAGCTGAGCTTGAGGGATTCTTCTGAGAAGACCTCTTAGGTCATAAGCTCTTTGGAAACCTTCCTTCACTTGAGGAGAAATGGAGTAGTTTCCAGTTTGTCCTTTAAAATGTATACCTCTAGAGAAGTTACCTGTCTGTGATGTATGAGGATATGTTATATGCACAACACTGGTGTATTCCTCTGACCGCTCTCAGTTCGGATTACATAGTGTGTAACTCTCAGAGAAAACCGTCTGCTGATTTACCTTCTTTGAGTTGATTTATTAGAACTTTTAGAGATGCCAGTTAGCGATGGTTCCCTGGGAAAGGGCTGTATGCAGCAGGGGATACAAGGGACCGCCATAGTGCATGTAGGCAAAAACAGCAGCCCTGGCTTCCCCATGGAGGAGGGGAAAGGGGACATGCACAATGAAAACTTGAAGGGAAAAAGTAAGAAAAGTAGCACACTGACAGTGGGGTCTCACAGGAGTCACAGCAAGAGGTTACCAGGTGCCAGCCTGTGAGGAGGAGCTGTAAGACCACATGAGAGGAGTGGTTATGAAGCACAGTGTGTGGGGGCATCACATGGAAGTGCAGTTATCACATGCCGGATTGCTCCAGGCACAAAGCTGGGAATGGTGGACTGACATAAACCCTTCTTCTGGCCTTATCGCGCTCTTGGGTTATGCTGACTGACCTGGAATTCGTGAATATTTATGGAAACCAGAGAGGGCTGGTGTCAAGAGCCTGTTTACAACAAACACCCGGAGCTCTCACTTCTAACCTTGCAGCATCAAGAGGGTATTATTGGGTGTCTGGAGGGGACTGTGGGGACCGCATGAAGATTATGACCCATAATCACAGTTGTTACTGCAAATAAATTATATTACTGTTTGTCCTTTTTGCTTTCCTGCAGATTCCTAGATGGCTAATGAATCCAGGCCCTGCCCGTGTGGTATTGGAGACAGGTTTGACTATGAGGGTTGTGGGCAGGAGGTGCAAGTTGGGCACATCAAGGCGTACGTTTGCAAACCACCTGCCGGCACAGACAAAGCTGTGATTGTGATCCATGATATATTTGGATGGCAGCTCCCAAACACCAGATACATGGCTGATATGCTTGCGGCTAATGGATACATGTAAGAAATCTTTTCTTCTCCAAGAAATCCCACTCTATGATTTTTAGCCTTACGTTAGAACTGTTATTCCCATACATGAGAGGAAACTATTACCAGGGCAGTTTCAGTGGTATATTTCCATGATACAAAACCACAAAGGAACATTGCTGTGAAATGTTGCAGAGTACAGCCTGCTTTCTTCATACTTGGCTGTTTACAGAAGAAGTGACTGCACGCATAGAATGCATGGAATGTTGAAAACACGATGCAGGAAAAAGTGATTCTGATAATTTTCCCAAAAATGTGAGATGGCTTCAAAAAACAGTGTGTTCTGGAACAGAAATGTGTATCCTGTTTTTAGAAATCTTTTTAAAATAAACAGTCATTCAAGCTAAATTATATGATGGGATTTTAAAAAATTGTCATCAGCAGAAATATGAATGAGTGTCATTCAATATCATATTTGAAATATATGCGCATTGAATATGTGCATATGAATGACTCATATGCACACATGGGGTGTTAAATACAATCCCCTTCCCCCGTGCGAGTCTTTCACACTCATTTTCAGTGCCCTATAGCAGTTAAATTTCAAAATGCAGCAACATCTTGCAATAACTGGATATGCTGCAAGGTACTCCATTTGCATTATACGTTACAAACATTCATATAGGGTTGGGACTGGCCTGCAGTTTCAAAAAGCAAACCTCCACTTAATTCTATAGTGGGCTAGTTTTGAGAGATGGTCCTTTAATGCTCTCAGCCTATGGAGCATGAGGGAAGTCAGGCATCCGCAGGCAGTTGCCACGTGGCTGAGATCTGTCTGTGGAGCTGAAAGGAGCTCTATGTCTCTGTGATGTAAAGATACTATCTCTGTGAGGATTAGGGTTTTCTGATACACTGGAACAATGAATTGGTCTATAGTCTGCTCCTTGCTACTGTCTTTCCTGAGGACCTGACATCCCCTCTTCTGCTCCATGATTGGAAGCATGTTTGTCTTGTGACCAAATGCTATCATTCTCAACATGAGACTGGATGTACACCTCTCGTGCTGTGCAGGATACTAGCAAATTGCTAGTATGACAGTGTGCTTCCTTATTACAGTAAGAGTCCACTCAGCCAAAAGTACCCAGTGTCTGATGAATTGGTATTTCTCCACACTACCTTAATTCCTGTAATTTTTCCCTGTGATTCATGCCATGTTGTGCTTCTTTTCGTAATACCTTCTTTCCCTCCACTTGTATTGCTAATAGCGCGGTGGTCAAGGGAAGGCGGCTGGTGTTTCCATTGCTCTAGGCAGGAGGAGAGCTGAGAGTTTTCAGGCAGCAGTGTCTGAAGAGAGGCCATGTGTGTCTTCCCTGATTGATTGCTTCAAGATGGTGCTGAACTGGTGCACCAATGTTTATTGAGAGGAAAATAGCTGGATTTTTCCTAGTGCAGTATGGGATGAGGAGCTATGAGAGCTGTATTTCAGAGACCGCGTTAAGACTGACGGCTTGTAGTGTCTTATCAGGCTAATTTGAGTGGGGAAGAACCTGTTCTTCTACACGGGCTTGGGAAGGTTCACTTTCAGAGCAATATGTAGCCTTTCTGACAGGTAGTTATCCAAAGGCTGTGCGATTTTGCCCATGCCTTTCCAAACACAAGTATGCTGTGGATGTCACTGTTTTTTTCACAGAAATGATCAAGCACAGTAAAAAAAAAAAAAAAAAGCTTGCAACATACTTTGGTCTGCTTTAGGCCAAACTGAGCTGGTCATTTCACCATAATCATTGAGATACATACTGTGTGTCTGAGGAGGGAGAGAGCCAAAGGCATTTAATAAGTGAAAGCTGACAGCAGTTTCCCAGGGATCCCATTGCTTCCCTGTGGGCTGGGCTTGGGAGAAGAGGCAGCAGGATCTGGGGGTGACCTAGTGATGGCAGCCTCCAGAGTCCCTGCTTGTTTCCTTCTGCATGATGAGACTGTAGCGTCCACTGGTGACTGCACCATCACAGCTCTGCTGCTGCTCACGCAACACGTTTCAGCTGGAGTCATCCCAAGCTGGGGTTTGAGCACCCCTGTGATGCAGGAATTCTTTAGTACTGCGTGGACTCTTACTGTACTTCCCTTTTTCCAGTCACCAAACGGTGTCCGCAGTAAAACACTCCTCCCTTTCTTCCCATGTGTTTTCCCTTCACTTGTTTTTTGCTTTCTCAGTCCGTCAGGTGTTTTTATTTTTTTTCCTAGCTCTTAAGTAAGCCTCATGATGTGCTCTGTAGTAAAGAACTATTTTATGTAATTGTCTTTGTTTAAATGGAACCCATTAATGATGGATTTATGTTAAATGGTATTACGTTGTATGCAAAATCTAAAATTGTTGTAAGCAGGACCTAGTTTGATCATCCTTTACAAGATAATCTATTGTTTTACTGTGTGTAGTTTCAAATTATGTACTCAAAGCAGATAAAATACTAGGAATAAAAATATTTATATTTTCCAGATTTGTGTCACAAATCGTATTGTGTGGTTTAGTCATTGAAAAAAGCCTATAGAGATACCTATACATGTTTTCTAAAGCTCATAGGCATTTCTGTAGAATTATGTTAAACACTGATGTTTAAAAACATTACTTTCTCAGGAAAAAGAAATCAAAACAAATTTATGCCTGGATAGAAACTTTCCATGCTATGAAGCGCCAAAAAAATCTCAGTGTGTGATTAATTAATTCAATTTTGATTTTTTTTGTGTGTGTGTCTGTATGTGCAGAGCCATCTGCCCAGATTTTTTTGCAGGAAGAGAAGCTTGGAAGCCTTCTGATGACTGGTCCAAGTTTGATGATTGGCTGAAAACTCGGGATGCCAGGAAAATAAGCAAGTAAGATGTCAGGGAGCTGGATATCACATTGCCTGCTGACATCAGATACTGCTTTTTTATTCCCTTTTTTTTTTTTTCCTCGAGGTTGGATGCAGCTAATCTACCAGTGAAGGTGGCCTTTTTTTAATGACTCCTTAGAAGTAGATGGAATCAGTGACTTTTTATTTTGCCTTGAACAGAGTGAAGAGTTTTGTCATCTGATGATGATATCATAGACTGCTAATTATTTTCTCTGCCTCAAAAAGCATGGTTTAAAAATGACCAGTGACACAGTGAGAAAGTGTAATTCTCATCTCGAGTCTTGCCAGGTGTAACAGACTGATACTTTTAAGATGTTGTACGGAAAGAAGAAAAGAGTTTTTGATTGCGCTGTTGTACTTGCCCACCACGGTGTAACTGGCCCCATGCGGCTGATGGCTGGATCATCTGTTGTCAGGGCGCAGTGAGGGCTGGTGGCTCCCTAGGGGACAGGGTGCTGGGAGCCAAGAGGAGTATCAGCTGGCAGTGCCAGGGCCCCGTCCCGTGGTACGCCACAATGATGGCAGCCAGGGTCAACTGAGGCAGGTCCCGGGTCAAGCTGGGAATGAGGAAGTTGGGGTCAGGGGCAGGTCCGGAGACATTAACCAGTATCGGATACAGCCCAGTGATCACCAGGCAGGTCTGTAGTGATGCGGCAGGGCCGAGGCCAAGCCGGGAAGTCAGTCTGTGCGTCCGTGATCTGGACAGGCATCTGGGTCAACGGGGCCCATGGCCAGGCACAGGCATTGCTGCGACAGAGCCGGAGCTGTAGCTCAAGCAAGGCCGAGCGGCAGAGCCTCAGCTTAAAAACAAGTCCCATGGAGGCCGGGGTTGTCAGCCCTTGCTGAGGCTGCCCCGCAGCGCTGTCTGGGAGCCTCTCCCCGTGGTCACCACTAGAGGGAGGGGAGCAGCCCTTACCTGCACTATCTTTAGGATGACCCTGGGTCCTGGCAGCAAACCCCTGGGGGAGGGAGGAGTGGATGTGTTCAGGGCCCTGAACACAGATTCGGCAGGCAGCCTCTTCTTTTCACTGTGAAGGATTTTTAAGACCAAGTTTGCTGTGATTTGAACTCACAGTGTGTTGGCTGCCTTGAAAAAAAAATGCTAACTTTGGACAACATGAGGCAAGAGTCCTCTGCTAGCACCTTAGTGACACTGCACAGCTACGTAGCAGTGGGAGAATAGAGCTGTTTGCTGCTACAACCTTGGAGTCAAACTCTCGGCTTAGCAAAGGCCAAGGGAAAGGTACACGCCTGCACTTACATGCAGACTATATGCTCGTGTAGTTAGTGGGATCAAGGACATCTTCATTAGCTCCTAAAGATGTTATCCTGGCACCGCTGCTGAAGAAACTCTGTTGGTTCCAGTTCTGTCCAGCTGTTGGTGTAACTGCATCCCTTTTCCTGCATTTTAGGGTAGCTGACTGATAGCTGAATTGTATTTGGCAGTGTCGGCATTTTCTTGATTGCTCAGATTTCCTGGATGCACATCAGCCCAGTTATATTAATGTCTTTTGGTTTCTTTAACTCATAATTTCCTTCTAGTAAAGGAGTCTATAATACCTGTTTTAGATTTCTCTTGCAGATTTTGCAACAGACTTTACTGGTGCCTCTCTGAACTATAGCAGTGTTTGCAGCACCTCTTGTTTTGCTCTTTCTTGAGAGAATCTAACAGGTAGCTTAAGGGCTTCTTCCTCTCCCTCAAAGGCAGGTCCAAATTATCATGTCTCCTCACAGCAGAAACACAACGGCTCTGGAGAGGAGCAGGACTGATTTCTTCAGCTTGCTGATAACACCTTGGGACTCTTTTGTTAGCGCGTGTGTCCTAGGCAGAGCGATAGAAAACTCTGTGACTAAAAGGGACACTGACAGATGGTTTCCCAAATTTGACTCAAAACCAAACAAGATGAAACATTTGAAGGGGGGAGGAAGAATGACAGCTGGAACAGTTGAAATAATAGGCAAGTACCAACTGCTGCTCTTCATTGAAAGGGTTTTGCTAGTGTTTGTAGACCAGGTGTGTTCTTGGGCTGGTGAACTCGGGCTGCTACAGGATGCCAAGGTCCTTTGCCAAGCAAAGGTGTTTTCTTCTCTGTAACTTGGACTAGAATCTTCTGGCCTCTAAATCCTGATGTAGGGGTAGTGCCCTGCAGCCATTTGGCTGTTTGTGTGATAAATGACCCTCATGTCCTCAGTGAAGATGTATCTGTAGGGACCATTGAGAAACAGAAGCTAGTGCTTCACATGTGAAGCAGTCCTTGAGGAGCACAGCTCAGGCAGTGATCTGTGCCCTGTCGTGGCTTCCAGTTAGCTTTGAATTTAAGCTGTTGGTAAATTTTAACTTGTTAGTGTTAGCAAGTAAAGTCTCCTGTTGTTTTAGTCGTGCCCCTGAAGAGATCATGTCTTCCCCTCCCATGTGCAGCACTGCCTGAGCATTTATCGGCAAAGACCTGTCAGTGGCAGAGGTGCTCTGCTGCCTTAATAACACAGAAGGAATTTGTTGCCAAGGCAATACTGAGAAGGGGTCAGACTAATTAGAGACCAAACTAACTTCCTGGCACGTGTCTTTCTTGGGCTGTTGGGAGTAGCTACATTGAAGGTTGCTGGGCTTACCTATTTGGTGAGAAGGTTATGGAAGACATAACTGAGTCATTTCCAGAGAGCTCCTGTCTCAGAGGGGTCAGTTGTCGTGGGCACTTTTTAGTTTGGAATCTGTCCCCTCTCTGCTGCAATGGGAGGGAAGGGCTGGGCTCTGCCTGGCATTTCTTACAGGTGATTCATGTTTCAAGTGTTGGCTCCGGTGAAGAAATAATTTTTTGGCACTTAATTTGCTTCTGTGTGTGGTTGTGTGTTGGCAAATAATGTGGTATTTGCAAAGCTGATGTATTGACGGCGTATACAACTTGCGTGCCCCAGGGGCAAGGAACTGGGGCTGAAAATACAGTTCTGAGGTGATATAAAAGACTTAACTGCTACCTCTCTGCCACCAATACTTTCTCTTTACTGCCTCTGCGTGGTGACACCTGCTTCAGGGGTAAATGGGGGTTTTCAGAATGCAGCATCTGGGCGAGGTGTATTTCAAGCTACATTGTAAATTCTGAAAACACCTACCATGTTTGTTACATTGACTTTCCTGCAGCAAACATCTCAGATGCTAACTTACAGTTACTGTCAGCATTTTGACTGTCTAATGAATAGTATTCTCTAGGAGGTTTTTATTACTTTTTCTGTCTACATTACAAAGCAAAAATTCCTCCTGCTTCTCAGAGAATTTTAAGCTGCTTTAACTCTTAGGTAGGTGTCAATCATCTGCTTTTCATCCCTTTAGGTTTCTGTCGATGTATGTTATTCATGTTGCGTTTTTATTTAATTCCATTCAGTTCTGTTTTTCCTCTTTCTGATGATTTCACATTAGCAACCCCTAATATTTGTCTGAAATAATGATTTATTTAAAGTACATGAAAGAAAATATAGTAGCAGCATGATATGGGGACACTTACATGTATCTCTACATTTTCTTTTCATATTTCAAATACTGGCTTTACTATGGGTGCTTAATTTGCATTTGCTTATATGTTCCAGAGAAGCTGATGCTGTCCTGAAATACCTAAAGGAACAGTGTGGTGCAAAGAAATTGGGCGTCGTTGGTTTTTGCTGGGGTGGTGTTGCTGTACGTCACCTGATGATGACATACCCGGAATTGAAGGCTGGTGTATCTCTCTATGGTAGGTAAATACAAAGATGTAAGACAAGCAGGTACACATGCATATGTATATTGTGTAGCTTAAGTACTTGATCTAGCCTTATTTCTTCAAATCAGGCTGTCAGCTGATGAAGAGAGATATTTTGCATGGGAAGGGTTCAAAGCTGCACCAGTGGAGGATTAGACTGGACATTAGGAAGCATTTCTTTACCGAGAGGGTGGTCAAACACTGAACAGGCTTCCTAGAGAGGTGGTCGATGCCCCAAGCCTGTCAGTGTTCAAGAGGCATTTGGGCAATGCCCTTAACAACGTGCTTTAGCTTGGTCAGCCTGGAATTGGTCAGGCAGTTGGACTGGATGATCGTTGTCGGTCCCTTCGAAATGAAATATTCTGTTCTCTTCTATTTTCAGCAGAGTAGGAAGGATATTATGCAAAGAAGATGATGGTGAGGATATTTGTTCCTAGTTTCAGAATGGGTCATAGCAGCCATGTCTTAATTTCAGGTCTGGACAGACAGACATATTGTCCTTCGGTCACCTTTCCAGTTTAGCTTCCTTTTCCTGTTTACTACTGTTCTGCATATTGCAGAGCTAGAACTTCACCTCGGAGCAGAGAGTGCTATTGTTGATCCAGCTACTCTGTAGAGTTAGATTGAGGTTATTTTAACACCAACTTTACTTCCATGTTCTATGCAAGAAGCCAGGATAGCTGAGCTGCCCTTTGCTAACATTCTCAGAATGCAAATTTTGGTCTACTTACTGAAGCATGAACTTTCCCAGTCAGTTCAAAAGAACTCAAACTTGTATGCACAGAAGGCATCTTTCAGGTCTTATTAATTCAGATATTGAGTCTGTATCTAAAGAAACTGGCTTAGATAGAGTTTTAATCTAGGAGGGTATTCTTCTGTCTTGAAAGTAAAGCTAATATTTATGGCTACGTATTGCATGAGACATGAAAACTTTTCACTGCAGAAGCAGACACCTTAAAAGTCAATTGAATAGTTTTTCTTGTTTCTTTTATGTTTTCTAGGACTAATCAAGGATTCTGATGATATATCCAATCTCCTGAACCCTACATTTTTCATTTTTGCTGAAAAAGATGAATTCATTCCCCTTCATCAAGTATGCTAATAACCTCCGTCTTCTTTCATTTCTGCATGTTTATATTTCAATCCTGAATTGGGAGTCAAAACTCAGCCTCATAATAGTGCTTGAAGGTCAAAAAATAAGCAGAAAAATGGAGCTAGACATAGAAGCGCTAATGTAACCTAGGCAAAGAATGAAAACTAGATTTTTTTTTTTTTTTTTTTGTCCTTACGTCTCTTTCTTTTGTAAAAGTATGCCTCGTAACCCAGGTAACAAAGTTTTATCAAAATCCCATTGCTGTTTTGGAGTACTCTGGGAGCTATCCTTTGCTGTATGACTTTGTTTTCTATTGGTCCTAGGAACGCATAAACAGTGTAGGATATGCCGAATTGCATCTACAGTTGTCCTGTTAGAAGCTTTTTGTTCAGTTGTCGTGTATTTAAAATTGTCATATATTTCACATGTAGGAAATACTTTTGTTATATCCATATCTTTGCAAATTGTTGGACCTGCCTTTCTAGTCTAACAAATTTTCTAGACCCTTACTGCAAAGGTGGTTTTTCTTTGTATAATTTTACTGTTTGTTATGCCCATATGGAGCTTGGTTATTAGTGTCTAGCATGAACGATAAATTAGGGAGTTGTACTATGAATAAGCTGAGGAGTGGCAGCATGGAACATGGCTATATTAATATAACTAGTACGATGCTCTATATTACAGGTCACCCTGCTGGAGCAGAAGCTAAAGAAAAGTTGCAAAGTCGATTTTGAAGTTAAAATTTATCCTGGACAAACTCATGGTTTTGTACATCGCAGAAGGGAAGATATCAATCCTCAAGATAAGCCTTATATTGAGGAAGGAAGAAAGGATATGATCAACTGGCTGAATAAATACATTTAATAGGAGAGAAAGCAAACTAATTTGTAACACAATTATGTAATACACTGGAGATTTTCGATAACACATTTTAGAAAATGGCAGGGGAGAGTTTGTTGAAATAGAAATTAAAGAAAAAAGCAAACAGAATATTGTAGATGTTTTTTGTCAGTAGTTTCTAATTGATACGTTCATATTACATTCTTGTCGTGGTTTAACCTCAGCCAGCAACTAAGCCCCACCCAGCCGCTCCCTCACTCCCCCCCCCGGGGGGAGTGTGGCGG